TATAAATGCACACTAGAAGATATGTGGTGTTGCTGCCATGTGTATAACATATAAATGAATGTACAGATGAAATGACTTTCTAGTTGGTGTAAACACATAGCTTAGAAATCAACAGAAAACATAAATTCTTTCCTCTCCTTGCTTACTTACAGCATCACTGAGTTCTATAACTTTTGAAAAGTAGAACCACCAGCACATGACAGAAAGGGTGAAAAATATTATTAGTCTGCTCTCAAAATAAATTATTACATTTCTATAAACTGGTTTTCAAAGTTTAATTTCTATCACAGATCATTTCTTTCATATTCAGGAAAAACAAGTTGCTGTATATTTAAACTGTAATTCTACGATACACACAGACATTTTTGAGTCACTTTAAAGGTTGCAACAGAATATTTAGTCCTTTAAAACCTGTGTGTATGGACCTAAGGAAATGTTACATAAAGTCCCCTCATGGCCAGTGGGTTGTTGCTGTAATCGACTGGATGGCACAGCAGATTGTATCTGTCCAACCAGGAAGAGGCGATGAACTGGAAAGACAAAAACTCCTTTCATCTTTTCTCAGGCAGCACAAGGACCTTTCATCCCATTTTGTCACACAGAAATTGACTGTGAATGAGTGAAATCACATCATGTTGAACTGACAACTCCCACAAAAGGGCAGGACACAAAAACAGTAGATCCCCAGAGATTTACAGTACATGTGTCTGACCTCACAGCTATGGAGGGATTTTTGTCCTATTACATCTACAAACATAGAGGTCATGGCTGCTGGGAGCAACAGAAACAAGCTGTGAACACGTAATACCTTTTAGGCTGTTGGTGAATTTGTTAACCAACTGCCTCTTTACGCAATCCACACTAACATTCATTTTAGCTAGCCCTTTAGCTGCTAAATGCTACACTACAATATGTTCACCAGCTATGTGCTAACGTTTTGTTTGGTGCTAGACAGACAATGAATAGTTGGGTTTTAGAGCATTTTCATTGGAAACAGCTTTGTGTTGGGAGAAACTAGTAAACAGTAAAGCTACATTTTTATAAAATGACCAGAAAGACACTGAAGAGCTGTGTTGTGAGGGGAGCTACAGGGTTTTATGATAATGGTTTTGTCACTATGAGTGACAGCTTTCACATTACACATAGTTTTTTTTTAGCCATTTCTCAGAGAAACTTAATTGTTAGAGCAGCTTTAAGGATAAAATGTCAAGACTTGAACTCTGAAGACATGACATCTATCAGTGTTCCATATATTAGAGTTTCCAAAACTTCAAGAGCAGTTTGGATGGTTTAGGTTCTTCTTCATTCACTCTGCATGTCAGCAACTGTTTGGAGGTTTTGAAAGTTGTAAACCAGCAGCATGGGTTTGAGGTTGACTGGCTGCCTCTTTGCCATCAGCTTTCGCCCTATACATATAAGGATCAGGTAGCAGAAGCAAGATACAGATGATTGGCACAGGAGAGTACACCAGCAGCCAGTTATCTGTTCTCTTGTCTAGACAGAGAAAAGGCAAGAGAGAAGAGCAATCAAAGCAAAGACTGTGCTGACAGCTGATATAAATATGCAACAATATCTATATATCATTTGAATATGTGAGTAATTACACTGACAAAGTGAAAATAACGACTTGCCCCCATTATCCAGAATCTTCTGGCAGAATAACGGCAACTTCTGCCACATGGTTAGAGCCTGGAAACCCTGAGATGGAAATACGTTCATGAACTAGTAAGTGAAAAACTGAACCAAACACTGTGTCTAAAGCAAACTTTGCACTCACTTACAGTTATACCTTTGCCAAAGAATTCATCTGAAATAAATTATAGTGAATATTACAGCATAGGACAAATGACATCAACTTGTAATCAGATGTAAAGTAACAACTCTTCATTTTATGGCAGCAAAAAGTATAACGCATGCATTCACGAACTGCACACTCCTTATATGAGTTGGGGTCTTACATACAGAAGAACACACCATTGCAAATTTGATTAAGACATCCAGACATGATCTAGATTAGAATTCAGAGATTATATCCACTAATTCAAATGTACTGTATATCTTGGTAATGGACAATACCTAATAATCCTCTTGATGAATGCCTGCCTAATGTGCACTGCAGGGGAATGAATTTCCAGTAGTGATTAATATATGACTGTGCTGCCATCTAGTGTTTGAGGATGAAAGCTCTGGACACAACAGGTCAGTTCCTTTCTCCCTCATCTTGATGTGTAGCAGAGTTTGCATGTGTATGGGTGCCTTTTGCCAGGACTTGAGATACCTCCAGCGGTGTTGGTCCACTGACCAGCTCAGCTTTGGCCTTTGATGTCAGTCTGTACATGTAGAAACTCCAACACACTCTTACAAGAGAAAACAGATCCCGCTGCCATCTCTCCTGTTGTTATGGAAATCAGGCTGTTGAACTGGTGCAGTAGCACAAATATCTTGGTACTGTGATCAACAACAAACTGTGCTTTGAGCCCCAGGTTGATGCTGTGTGTGAAAAAGCACATCAGCTGATGCATTTTTATCGTAAGCTTCACAGTTTTAAAGTTGACACCACTTTTATGAAAATGTTTTATTCTGCTTTTATTGAATCAGTTCTTGTCTTTTCTTTTATTTGTTGGTATGGGTTACCTTCTGTTCAAATAAAATGTTTACAGGGTATTGTAAAGGTGTGCAGCAAAATTTCTGGCACATCCTTAAACGACCTTTATGACCTGTATAAGGTCAGGTCTCTAAAGGAAGCCCCATCCAAGTCATCCCATGTGGGGTGAATTGATGTTACTTCCATCAGAGCGCAGATATAAACTGACAGGATGCAGAATGAACAGGTTCAGAAGATCATTTGTTTCTGTTGCTATTAGTCTTCTTAATGGCACTTGAAATGATAGTCTGTGTCTCGTATTGCTGTTGTTATGTGTTTGACTATTTATACTGCTGAATGTGAATCAAATTGCCCCGCAGGGATAATAAAGATACCTTGAACCTTGAACCTTGAACCTTGAACAGATGAACAAAATCCTAGAAGTGTGCCTAAGGTTCTGAAACTCAAAATCAATTTTAGTGAATAATACTGAATAGTTAAATGCATTCATGCAGTTAGCCTCTGTCTCTGTCTCTAAACATCTTACAGTCGATCAATGGCTCACAGTCTCTAGGAATAGATCCTACTCTAATATTTTATTTGGCTGCTTTCCAGAACACAATAACTGAATCTTTCTCTTTTAAAATGTATTAAGAAATGTAAGCATACCTTCCTCTTTTCTGCTTTTGTTGCTTTTGTCACTCATATTTTAGCAACCATGACATGTCCCCAGTAGTGCAGTGGTGTCTTGGTAGGCGGGTAAAGCACCGAGCCTCCACTGTCCCTGGCCACCTGGAACTATACATAACTTTAATTTGAAGGGAATGTAATGTGAAATGTAACTATGTACAATTATTTAAACACTTTATGTTTAAATGAAAGATCTACAGTATACTTCTCTACATGCCAGAACATGATATTGTTTCACCTGTTCTTTTGTTTCTTTCAGGAAATAACATGCTCATGAGATCAAGTCCTGTCAGTCTCCTGATTTCAGAGTCTATTAAACACAGTTTACCAACCAATTTGTAGCATAAATCTTTATCTTCAGTTCACAGTGAACAATATCAGATGTGCAAAGTGGTTTAAAAGGAGAAGCTTCAATAGATATTTTTCTATCCAAGTGTAATTACTGAATTGGTAGAGGGAACATGCTGCTTGGACACAGCTAGGTGCTTTATCTCGCTCCTGTAACCTCGTCACAAGGATTTACACAGGAAAAGCCTAGACAAAGCCAGGCTTGTACAACCAGCCAAGAATCTGTATGAAAATGACCAGGAATTTTAGATCACTATTTAGAGACCCTCCATCCAGGGACTTGTGGATAATGATCACTACCATTATCTTAATAGTGAACTTTCAATTTGTTACACATTAATATTTTGCCAATCGTAACCAAGACTAGATGGAGACTTAAAACACTCATGTTAAATTTAAACATCTACTGTATACAACACATGTTTTCAATATGGACATGACAGCTTTGAGAAAGTGACCTTATCTTCATTCTGTTGCTTCCAATGGTTGTTGTTTTATCCCTTCCCATCATCTATCTATCTATCTATCTATCTATCTATCTATCTATCTATCTATAGTATATGGTCAGACAGACATAAATATTTTTAGAAATAAAATTGTACTAATTACTACCTAAAAGTTCATTCTACATTCATGTAGTTCATAAAAATAAGAAAAAGTGACACAGAAAAAATACAAAAATCATTCAAAGTGTGGGTTAATTATGTATTACAGCTTATTACATTGAAGTAAACTACATCCACATCTTCTTTGTTCTTCTATACAAAATGAAAAACACTGTCCTGTAGAAATTGTACACTGAACTACTGCATTCCTTGAGTGATGTATTGCATTGAATAATTAGTCTAAATTAGTATATCAATCCTCAGATCACTTTCCAAATGTCTTGAACATATCTATGTGAATAAAAGATGTTGTTGTGTTCTGAACAGCACAGCAGCTCACCTCGGGGTTTTGTCTGGCAGGTAAAGGGATTAATGGAAGTAGCAGCTGAAGTAGTAGAATCCACTTTAGACAGTAACTTGGCTGAGGTTTGCTCAGCAGCAGTACACACCATTCTCTGGCTCTGAGTGAATGACAGCAACAGTCTGTTCTCCCCACTTCTCCACACACATCGATCTACAGCTGCCTGCAGGCAGGTTTTCCACTGCAGACTTCACTAATGAGAGAAGACAGGGCAGAACCGGCTACTTTATCCACACAGCGGAGTGAGGTGTGGAAATACTAGCAGAGGAGCCACAATCGTATTACTGTTCAAAACAGATTCAACTGCCCTCCGAATTAAAACACTTTCCCAAAAATAAAATACATGCACTCAGATTCTCACTAACTAAGGATGAAAGTGAAGAGTAAAATCCCTAGTAATGTAACTTTCAGCCTAATTATCTATGCTGATGATGCTCATCATCATGATGGTGGTAGTGGGGATGACTTTTATGACTTTTATCCTGCTGATGTTGGGACTGGTTGCTGTGACTGGTATGATAGTGGGGATGATGGTGAGGATGATGAGGATGATGGACATGATGATGACTCCCCGGTGCTTTGTCTCCCTCCTGTGGACCATCAGTGCCCAGCTGAATTGTAGATAATGTAGTTGCTTGCGTGCCATTTACCGATACTGTCTCATTGCTGATTTCCATGCCACTCGATAAAGTAGAATTAGCCTGGGAAAGATGAAATACCTCTTAGAATTGTATAATATTGTTTTGGCCACTTGAGGACAGCACAACAAGTTAAAAACATAGACAAGTTGCTATTACAAGTGTCTGTTCACTATCTAGTTGCTAGCATTGCCCGGCTACTGTTTGATGGACAGGTAGTGTGCAATGGTAGAGCTGCGGTGATAATTCTCTGTAGGTTTGTAACTATGAGAACTCACTTTCACATTACACACATTAATTTGATCTATTGTTAGTATAAAATATTGTGTACCTTTAATTCAAAGGGGGCATGGCACTGTATTTATTTTTTGATTGAGTGAGTATTTCATTGTAAACTGAAACTCTATTCAGAATCACTTGTTGTGCGTGTGCATTCTTGAGGTTACTCACAGAGCAATTGCAGATATTTTTGTGATAAGTGGCTCTGATTGCACCTTCTACATAGGGGTAGTGTAGGAAACTGTACGGCATCACTATGTGATAGGTGAGGAGACCACACCTGGAAAAAAAGGGGAAAGGGTGAAAGAATTCATATGTAGATGACAGTCACTATAATTTTACTGGTTCCTTGCACAGTTTCACAATGTTATATAAACACAGATGATACAGTAGTTATGTTATTATGCGGGTCTTAGGTCAAACACCATGCCAGGCTGCTTCAAAGTATATTCTTTTTTGTATCTCCTACTGGGGGTGAGTCAGAACTGTGCTTTTAAAATCAGCATCTTCCCCAGGAGGGAAATAAATCTTATCATCTAGAAAATGAAATATTAATGGGAAACAAAGTCAAAATTTGTAACATTATAACCTAAAGAACTAGTGCAGCAACTAATATTTGATGCATTTTATGTTTGCATTCTGGCTTGTTTTTGTATAAAACCTGCTCTTGTTAAAATAATCTAAATGTGGCTTTACCTATCATAAATCAGGAAGTCGTCTTTGTCGCCATCCAGAGCCTCCCACACGTCATTTTGAAGGTGATCCTGCTGGTACACAGGAACACCAGGGGGCGCGCTTCTCTCCAGCTGATAGTAAGTTGCTCTGGAAAGAACATCTTGCTCGTTCACTATCATGAAAGACACATCTGTCAGGTTGCTGAGCTTCAGTTTCTCACGCAGGCCTCGCATGCTACAGGGGAGCAGACAGAGAAGGAGAGAAAGCTGTGTACAATTATCTTTTACAAGCAAAAGTCCTGCATGCAAAATGTTACTTAAGTAAAAGTGCAAAGTATTATCATAAAATATACTTAAAGTACCAAAAGTGGAGGCAAATGCATGCATTATGCAAAACGGCACAGCTTACACTGATGTACATCATAGTATTCAATTATAATTGCTGATGTATTATTGTGCACATCCCATTTAATGTTGCAGTTTGTAAAGGTACAGCTAATTTTAACTACCTTATATGCTTAGAATTTGAAGTACTGCTGGGTAGCTTGTGAATTTTATACCAAGGATCAGTAAATCTTGTGATTATACTGTATTTTGTTTTATTAACCTCTTTCTGAAAAGTAACTAGTAACTAAAGGTATCAAATAAATGTAGTGAGTACAAAGTACAAAATTTTATTTTGAAATGTAGTGAAGTCAAAGTATAAAGTAGTGGAAAATGAAAATACTCAGTTAAAGTACAGACAGCTCAAAATTGTACGGTACTGTAAATGAACTTAAGTACTTTCCACCTCTGATTATGGATATTTAGTTTACCACATCCTTTTTCTTTATCCAGATGTTTATTAACCAAGCTTTTGTATGGTTGTATTGTTTTAAAGGCTTTGGTTGTGAAATAGCCATGAAGATAAAAGTTTATTAATTCTGTTGTAATAAACAGTGCCTTTATTTGTTTATCATAGATGCTGGCACATCTTTCAGCACTGTTCTCAACATATGATTTTTAACTTTTTGTTTTGTTTTGTCTTGTTTTGGTTTTTACCCTTCCAGACCCTCTTCTCCTTCTGAAAAGCTAAGGAGATAGGTTTAACTCTGGATGCATGCGCACAGTCAAATGTCAGTTGACAAGTACTGTAAACTTGACAACAATTATTAGTAAAAACTTTAGCCCCCTCAACCAAATGGCTCACTAAAAAGTAAACCCATTCATCTAAGCATATAGTAAACCTTATAACACTGATTAATTTGATGGTCTAAGTAGACCTTTGTCACAGCAGACACTCTTGAACCTGCACTCTGGATTTTCATACTGTCTATATCATTGATATATGCCTCTTAAACTACAACAGAGTTCCATGAAGTGTGTGTTTTCTTTTTTACCCGTAGGCCTGAATGAGACAGAATTGTCAGCTGGCCTTTAGTAGCGCCACCACGACCACATTTCCCAGAACCTCTTTCATGGGTGCCTGTCCCTTTATTTCCCACTTGGGGGCGGGCTTGCAGATCCTGGAGGCATCATTGTCCCCCTCCAAAAAGAGGGTGGCATGTGACGCCCACAGCAGACCTGGCAAAGTCACACATAGCCACAGCAACAAGATGGAGGACATTGTCCTTCCCAGGCTGCCTAGTCTAGATCTGCCTGAGGACAAACAATGTGTGATAACAGTTGTTATTTTGACCAGACAAAGAGTCTGCAGCATTTCATTTATTTATTTTTTACATCAGTGAACCAAAACAATTATTTAAAAAAAATCCATATAATAAACCCTAAATTTTAAGTGTGATTAAAGAAAGACATGCTATGAAGTGAATAAAATTATTAAAGATCTTAACCAACTTTTTCTAAAGTCTCTAAACTGTAAATAAGGACTGTTCAAATGATATAACTGTAGTCTGTAGGCTATAGTACAAAGCATCATGTGCAATCGATCTGGGCAAACAGCACATTGAGTTTTTGGCAGGTTTCTCCTGCTCTGAACCAACTGGCCGCTCAGCCTGCGTCTAAAATAATTTAAAACATAATCAGTCTTTGTGTCTCTCATAACGCATGTAGATAATTAGCAAACCAAGTTTATAATGAGGTAAACAACTAAGAGACAGAAGAATGTCAGGATAGGCAAACAGGGATTCACAGAGACAAAGAGATATTTACAGCAACAAACAGTACAGTCTGTACAAACAGGGTCTAGATCAGATTTGGCTTGATCACTGTGCATCTTTTACCAGTTGATTTATTAAAGGTACTTAATTAGGTCAAGTTTAGGTATTAAATAGCAAATTCGATCTCAGTAAATCACTGCTTGTAAGACTGAAAGACAACCTCACAGCCAACATGACAGAAACAGCATTAGTGTGTCCCATAAACTTAATAAATTCAGTGCATCAACAACCCTTCTAATTAATTATTTTGAAAATAAAAAAGCTTTAAACACAATCTGATGAAAACAATGCAGAATAGCTTAGAAATAATAATAATAATAACACAGCATGACATTGCTCTTCAAAATAAGATGCAGTTTTTGCACAGTGCAAATTTGAGGCCAAAAACAAACCTACCTCTGTTCTCTCTCTCTGTCCTGTGACTAACATAAACAGGCAGTAAACCCCTGTTGTTTTTAAAGCCTGTGGGGGTTGACTAATCACTTCCCCCAAATCAAACAGAGAGAGAGAGGGGGAGAGACAGTGTGTACAGTATAATAATATGTACTTGGTGTGTTATTTTTATCAGGTCAAATTAAAATATTGGAGTAGGCTAATGGTGTCCAAGAAGTTTAATTTAAAAGTATCTAAATCACCAGTGCAATCACACCTACAAGCATCATGTAACATTATCATTGTGCGTTGGTGGTTGTCTGTTTTCTTTAGTCTTTTGTACTTGTGTACTTGTTGGCATTACTCTGTGTGCATCAGGCCTTGGACTGTGTAGGGGTGAAAGCTACTCTGACAAACAGACCAGTGGTTCCACTTCTATACAACACAAGAAACCAATGCATTTAACTGTACAGCAGTTAAATGCGTTGAATCGCCTTCACTAACCTGTTGCTTGTCGTATTTATCTTTGACCCTTAATGTATTTACATTACAGTTCAACTTGGGTAACAGGACAGCTGCAAAGCAAATATCTAATCTTGCATGTGAAAGATTTGCTCAAAGTCCAAAGTGAGCCAAAAAAAAAACAACTGTATTCTTTGTTTAATTCAGGGCAAAGATAACTTTGACAGAAGCTACAAACATCCCCTGATAATATTTTACTATTAATCCATAAATTGTAATTTCAACTCTAATCTAACCACTGTAATGACAGTAACAATGCTGTGATATGCAGGAACTGTTATGCAGTGCAGGTGTACAATGCACGCACTACGAGTGTAGATGTAGGAAAACTCTTTCACACACAATTGTGTGCATGTGTGCATACGCACACAAATACAGGTAGTTTTTTTATTTTCTTACAGTGCCACTATTTTGGATATTAGATGTCATGTAGGGGGTGTTATTGGGGCAATATATTCAAATGTGTGTGGAGATTTATGACTGTATCTTAGGTACACCCTGGACAGGTCGCCCGTTCATTGCAGGGCCAACATGCAGACGAACAACCACTCACACACACACACAGTCACTCCTATGAGCAATTTAGAGACACCAGTCAAGCTAAGCTGTGTGTCTTTGGACTGTGGGAGGAAGCTGGAGTACCCAGAGAGAACCCACGCAAGCACAGGGAGAACATGCAAACTCCACACAGAAAGGTCACAAACCCACAACCTTCTCGCTGTGAGGCAACGGCACTAACCACCACACTGCCCATATATGGTATTCAAGCTATTCTAAATAAATCCAAAGCCTCTGGATGGGTTGAGGACAAAAACAGGAATGGAAGACCAAGAAAACTGTCAACGTCTGATGAGAAGTTTCTGAGAGTGTCTTCTCTGAGAGACCGGAGGAAATCCAGCAAGGACTTGGCTCAGCATCTGACAGCTTCATCTTGATGCCAGGTTGATCCAGTCCAAAGACACTTGATCAGGAACAGCCTTTGTGGAAGGACAGCAACCAAGAAACCAATTTTTCAGAAGGGGGACAGGGAGAAAAGGCTGAGATACGCAAAAGCTTGCAAAGACTGGAGTGAAGATTAGTGGAAAAGAGCCTCATTGAGTGATGAATGGAGGTTTGAAATACTTGATCCCAGTCGTCAACAGTATGTGTGAAGAAGAGTTGGGGAGAGGTGGTAGCAGCCTTCAGTGAAACATGGTGGAGGGTCTGTCATAGTGTCAAGACAGTTTCCTAGAGGAATTCAAGCTGTGCTAAGTGCAAGGGGGGGCACAATAAATACTGACTTTAGACTGAGGAAACCATTTTGTTATGGAAATTTGTTTTTTTTAATACTGCGCACACATTTCCTGATTATATCTAGACTGTTTTATATATACACATCCCATTTGTTTCTACAGATTTGTGCACACACAAATCTCAGTACACATTTACAACTTAGACTACATATTTACAGATTGCACAAAGACTCTCCACACACATTTGCAGATAATACTGCTGCTACAATACCTCTATAATCATGTGACTTACTTGATTAGCCTAAGCTTATTTGATGCACTTCACGATTAACTAGAGCTGCACTGCAAATGTGAATGCTTCAAGAAACAGCAAAGTCAAATGAAATTATAAATCTATCTGGTGTCGAGTTACCAAAAGTACAGCATTTACTTCTATTTCACTGACTGAACACAGCTCTAAAAGTGTGGCCCCTAACACATCCTATAATCTGTGGCTGGGGGATTAGGAAAAACAAAGATTTCAGTTTTGCAATCAAAAAGGAATTAATTAAGGAAATCAACCCTTACTTTGTTGACAGTATAGTGCGAGACCAAAACCCACTTAGGTTTTAAAAGCAAACATAATGCCAGACACTTACTTTTATCCCAGCATGTATGCTACTCCTTTACACCCACCATCAACTGATACATATTTTGGTAAATTTGACCAAAAAATAAAGCTTGCATAATATACAAAGAACAATATACTGTACTGTAACATGTTTACATGCCAGAAGAGTCCTCATAATATCAGAATACTCAAGCTACTTTACCCAAAATATGAGCTTCTGTTCTCTCAGTACATTTGAATACACAAAATAAAACTAGGGCTTTACAGTGCATATAAACACAATCAGTGAAGGAGCCATTAATTCAGCTGTGGGACACTTGAACAGAACCAGCAAATTCAGCAGACTCTGTTCAAAGTCATACTGGAGCTCAGCATCTTCATAGGAAGAAACACCACAAGCACAAACCCACACTAATTGCAAGCCCCAGCATGTCATAAAGCGAAGCCACATCTTAGTGGTATAGATCACAAGCACAAGGACATTTCAAATCCATGAACTTACAGACCCTGTCAACAGAAGCATAACATGGCCCTCTTCTTTCACTTGATACCAAACCTGCAGATGTTTAACACAGAAGATTCTGTACATTTCTTAGAGTCAACAGAGCACACAGACAGCCAAAATCAGGACAAAACACCTATCAGTTCCTCCTCATCATTGTCTCCAACACCTTCAGTGGGACTGTCACATGTGGCCATGAGTCCCAGGCCTAGTTCTGCCAGCTCCTCACAGCTCATGTCAGTCGTCACCATGATCTTAGTCTCCAGGCGATTACATAGGGTCCTGTAAGAGGGCAATGGGTATCCCAGCTCTCTTAGGTATTCATAGCCCTTAGTGCCAACCACACAACGGATCTTGCGGGCCCTCAAGATGGTCTCTGTAGACCACACAGCACGTCGGGAGTGCTTGGTGAGGGACAGGGCCCGGATCTGGTCCTCGTACAGGAAGTTATGGAGGCCCTTCTCAATGCGGTCAAGGCGATAGAGACGTTTCTTCATCTCCTCTGCCTGACAGACACAAAGAAGAAGATGGTTTATTAGGGCTAAAACAGTTGTCAACGTATGACTCTTCAAATTACCTTTTTCAATTCTTCTAGTTTCCCACATCAGAATCAGCATGGTTAATACATCATTATAGGAGTCATTAATTAAATAACGTGGTAATCAAAGCTTAGGTGTAATGGTATCCACACCAGCACCCATTCTACCTCTTTCTGAAGCCTTGCACTATGCTGCATCTCCTGCTCCAACTGTTTTTTGAGGAGCTGACAATGCGTGCATGGCCGCTGGTCCTCAGCTGTCCTGTCTGCATCTTCCTCCTCCATGCCAGGGAGAGGGGTGCGTCTGGCGTAGCCATGGTCCCCAAAATTCAGCTCCTTCTCCCCTGGAGACACAAAGCAGTCTAACTAGTACAACATTTCTTCCTGGAATTTGATGTAGTTTCATGTTATAGCATGGTTTTAAACAGAATGCTCTATGTTATGATGCAAATAGTTATAACTAAAAAAATTCCAGGAAAATAACATTGCTTGTTTAAAGATGCACCGTTTCTGATTATTAGTTCTGTTGCCACTAGGGGTCAGAAATACATCCAAAGCTGACATACACAGTAAGCATAATTTAGCCTATAAGAGAGCACTTGATAAATTCAAGTCCAACAGCAACACTGTTAGACAGCATAACAATGAGCTTAATGTAGGTTAAAAGTTCCACAGAGCTGCAGAGCATGTGCAATTCTTATTACACAAAGCAATTTCATTCAACTTTTCAATAATCACACAGGGTTACATTTTGTTAAAATGGTAAATGGTCTTATATTTGTATAGCGCCTTTCTATGCCTTACAGCACACTCAAAGCGCTTTCACACTATTTGGCCATTCACCCATTCACACTCCCAAACACTCACACATAAAACAAACTGAAAAGTTGGCTGTCTCACTGCTGTTAAAGCTTAAGAAAAATATCCATCCCCAATCCAAATACTACAAGGAATAACAACAAGTCATTGTTACTAGTTATTACAGTTCTGAGGCATGTTTTGACCAGAAAATTTCAGTCCACCACAACAGTGCTTGGCTATCTGTAAAGTGTAATGGTAAGATGGTCTATACGTTTAGCAAACTACCAAAACTACACTCACCTGCCAAATCTAATGAAATGTAATAGATAGTATTAAACAAGAAATGTGGAAGTATACTCGGTTACCTGGTTCAGGTTTCAGAGGCAGCAGAAAGAATGGGGTGGTGACTGCAGGATAAGGAGGGTCTCCAACACTGAACAGAGTAGGGATGGCATTGGGCTTCAGCTTCTTCCCCCCAGCTGGAGACCTGGCTATCTCCTCAAACTGGCTCTGCTCAAAGTGATCCTTGGAGAAACAGGCAGGAACACTGAATTCAACTAATGATATGTACACATACAAAGACCATGATGGTGCATATAGAGAGTAGCGTTACAAAGTTAAATGTGGCAGAAGGAATATAAAACGGAATCGACAAGACAATCTACCAACCAACCAAACACACAAATAAATAAATAAAACTCTTCACATTATTTGTCAGTACACTGTCCAATTTAACACAACACCGCCTCAGTGAGAGCTCACCTGACAGAGTCTTGAGTGTGGAGTTGGTTCAAAGTCACGTCGACAGTTCACCAACCATTTCTTTTTACGGACAGGGTCTTTGGGGAATCTAAACAGCTGTTTGCCGATACTGGTTGAATTAGAACAGTTTGGAGCGGAGCAGCCGCCCATTGCAGCAGTTTAGGCAGCCAGCCGAGCTATATTTAACGAACGTTAAGTTAGCGTTAGGATAGCTTTTGCTATCAATAAACAGCTCAGCTGGGGATTTTAAACATTGCAGTTAACAACTGCAATTGGTAACTACTTACGCGGTATAAAAACAAGAAAAAAAAGTCACATTTACAATAAATGTTAGGTCGTGGAAACTAAAGTGCTATCTCGAAGATTTTTAGCATTATTCTTTATAGCTACATTGTAAAATACTTAGAAATAAAATGTTCGTCACTTAGTTTGAGCCAAAATGGCGCACTTCTCCTCGATAATTGAGTAGAGTGACGTGTTGTTTATGTGTGCCTATTGTAAACGCCTGCTTGAAAACTGTATTTAAAGGTAAAAAAAAACACAATCACATAAGGAACATTTAAAGGTAAAATATTTTTACAAAGATCTTGTATTCTTTAATTGTTAAAATGTTTTTACGTGAAGCAAGAAATTATTTTTTATTTGCGCTCTGGTAATAGTCCGACTACTAGTAGTTTTGTTGTCACAGGACCCCAGGAAGCATGTTTAGACGCATGGCGAAATGTTTACTATTACTTAGGTGGTAGCGGTCGACAAGAACAAATGCAAATAAATTAGCTTAAGTAAATGTATAACTAGTAAGATAATATATCGATTAACAAGTGCAGCATCCGCCTAGAGCGGCTAATAATAATAATAATAATAATAATAATAAAAACCCTTGCAAGATAGCTGAGGTAGTTAATATTCCAGGTAACGTTAACAGTCGATAGCTGTGCAGAAAAGACTTCAACGAGTTGTGAGTTTTATACAACGTTACATTAATTTGTATTGATACAATTATGGCACCTTCACTGGTAGTTCCAGTCATTGATGTTCAGAGTGATAATTTCAAAGAGCTTTGGCCTGCTATGGTAGTGGCCATTAAAACTTGCTCGTTCCTTGCACTGGACACGGTAAGTGGGTGTGAGTATTTGTCTGACCGGTGTGTACCTGATTTAAAATGACTCGTCCCTTATGCTTTATGGGAATTACCCTCAGTTTTCCCTCTAATCTATCACAGTTTTGACCAAACATATGCTCGGGGGTGGGGGGTGCTGTGGGTCAGTGGTTAGAGCAGTCATCTCCCAACCGGAGTGAAGGAAATTATAATCCCACTGTCGAAGTGTCCTTGGGCAAGACACCGAACCCCCAAGTTGGTTAGAGCCATCGGGTGAGTTGGCGCCACAGATGGTAAATAAAGGTGATTATTCCTCAGGATTCACTAGATGCAACATTGGACCTTCTGAAATGAGTCTCACCCGCCGCCATATTGCCAGGGGCGCTAAGACAATTCTGACCAGATTCAGTAGTGGATAACCATACACTATTGCGCTGCGTTTGGATGCTTTAATACAAAAATGCCAGAACCAAACAACAGGGAATAACATTTCACACGTAAGAAGGTTCTTAACAATATTTTACTTTAACAAACATGGCCAAAAATATTGGCACCCCTGCATTTTTTTAGGATAAAGATAATCACCTTTATTTAGCCAAGTATGTTACACACACAACGAATTTGTTTCCGGTACAGAACCGAGGCAGCCTTCTGCGGCGCCAACTCAACCAATGGCTCTAACCATTGGGGGCAACATGGGGGTTCAGTGTCTTGCCCAAGGACACTTTGACATGTGGACTGCAGGCACGGAGATTCGAACCTTCAACCTTCTGGGTGGGAGATGACTGCTCTACCCACTGAACCACTGTCGCCTCCCCCAGAAAATTGTTGCAATCACAAATTCTTTGATATTCTCATGTTTATTTAATTTGTTTACATTGGAGCATGCATTTAATCTTTTCACTTTAGTGTTTGTTGTAATTATGTATTATGGCAGCCTAGAGTGGGCAAGGTTGTTACTTTTTAATAATTACGAAGTGTATAGTCTATATTATGTATTGTAATAATCTGTCAAGATGAAGTGTTATGATATGAAAACCTGCATTTTTATTTTAACCAAACATCCAGTATCATTAACAAACCCAACAGCTGGAAAATTGGCAGCAAATTAAGGAAATTCTGATGAGTTTAGTGTGGATAGACCTCCTTTGCTCATACACATACATGTATTAGGAGGCATGGCCTTGCCCATGGGAACATGGCAGTCATGGTGATGTCTCTATAATAGAAGTTGCATCTAGTGTGTGTGTATGTGTGTATAAGTAGTAGTCTCTGTGTTGTTTCAGGAGCTGAGTGGTCTTGGGAACAGGAAGTCCTTGTTGGCTGAGTGAGTACAAACATTGGTGATAATCTCTTTCTCAGTAATTGTTCCTTACAGCTACACTCTCACTATTACAATGCTGTCATGCAGAAACCCCCAAGTTTTATAGTTTCTGAGTCATTGTCATGCTTTGTCTGTCTGTTGTTTAGTGGTGGCGTATCTCTAAGTTTGCCCTGTTTCTCGTTGTAATGTGTTGTTCAGATCTATAGAGGACAGATATAAAGCCATATGCCATGCAGCTCGCTCTCGCTCCATTCTCTCCCTGGGAATTGCCTGCTACAAGAAATTGGACTACAAGGTACAAAACAATGTTTTGTCCAATTACTTGTGGTCATGGATGTCCCAGTACTTCTGGCCATATACTGTATATTAAACACATTATTAGATGTTTTAGATGAGCATAACATGTACTGGTAGAACAAGTCCAGTTAGATGGCTCCCAGAGAGTTGTATCTATGATCTCCCACGCCTGCTTCACATAAGATAATTTGCCACTGCAGACTTTTCTAATGGCTCATGTGTAATGTCTCTCATCTCTTTGCCTTTCTGCAGGCTGCAGACACATACCTGGTCCAGGTGTATAACCTCACAATGCTGTGTTCAGAGGAGTACATCATAGAACCCCAGTCAGTCCAGTTCCTGGTGCAGCATGGATTTGACTTTAACAAGCAGTATGCTCATGGAATCCCTTACTGCAAGGGCAATGATAAGGTGATGAGACTTGCATGGCAGTCTGTTGTACTGTATGTTCTGACCTGTGTGCATATTGTGTTCTCTGTTGCATGTGTCACCCAGTGTACAAACTATTTAAAAACAAGTTAAAAGAAGTGTCTCAGATGCCTAAAGACTAAAAAGAGTCCATGTCCAGTCCAGGTAAGCATAGTCCTGCCCTAGGTCGGGTGCCGCATATAGATGGCCTCCAGCCACTCACAGCCTCGGGGCATCTCCAGGTGGCAATGGAAAGGGTGAAAGTAGATCTCACACTGTCCCCAGCTTCTTGAGTTCATATGGTAGGCTATTAGATATAGACAATAATACACAATTAAATGTGCCAAAGAATAGGAGAGATAGTCTGACTGTGCCAAAAACTCTACAACTAAGCGTACATGCAAACCACCCAAAATATCAACCCAAGAAAAACAAACCAAAGCAAAAACACACAAAAGAAGGGCTCTCTCCTATTTGGTGCATAGCAGTCAGCAAGAAAATTTTAAATTGTATCTTGTAGGACACAGGTGACCAGTGGAGGGAAGTCAAAAGGGGGTGATATGCTCCCTCTTGTGAATACGGGTCAGAAATAGTGCAGCCATGTTCTGGACAAGCTGGAGGTGGTTTAATGAGGAATGGTGGACACCGATGTTAAGAGAATTACAATTATAAAGACGACTGGAGACGAAGGCATGCATGAGCCTTTTGAGGATTCTCCTGGGGAAGAAAGCTTTAACTGTTAGGAGACAAATTAAGAGAGCGACACACCTGCACTAATTACAACCTGCCGATCCAGTTGTTTTTTTTTAATTCTCACTTTTCCTCAGACTACCATCACGCACACACCATCACCCCATGACACATGTACCCTTTTCTCTCTGTCTTCTTTGTTAAGGGAGGATCAGACGACCGGGGTGTCCACATCCGGACATTATTCACGGAACTGCTACGTGCCAGGAAACCCCTGGTGCTCCACAACGGCCTCATTGACATGACTTTCCTTTACCAGGTACCAAGTGTTGTCTTTGCTTTGCAATTTCATTCCTTTTCATTTGGCTTCAGCCCCCTGCCACCTTCTACAGGATGAGTGGTGTAGATGATGATAGATGGATTCCTTTTCAGTTTAATTCTTTATACTGTATATAGTTCTTGTTTTCTTCACAGAAGAGTACCAGTTTTTTACATTAGTTCTAAAAATTTGTGCAGATTTATCTACATTTGTTAAATAATAGACACTGAAACTAAAATCTATAGAGTTCTAAAATTTGATGGCATCTAGTTATGTGTGAAATTAATGAGAAGTTCATTTCAAACCATTATGAAATTTAGCTTTTTATTTCTTTGCTTATTTAATCTTCAGCTGTGGTTAAAAAAAAGAGTATACACTGTGTCAAAAGTTCTCAATATAGTTAATATTGAGACTCGTGACGTTCTGATTTACTTTTTTTTAAAAGCAGTTGATTTTTCTTTCTTTTCTCAACCAGAGTTTCTATGCTCATCTGCCTGAGCGCCTGGCCACTTTCACAGCCGACTTGTCTGAGATGTTTCCTGCTGGCATCTATGATACCAAATATGTCACTGAGTTTGAGCTCCGGCTCACTGCCTCCTATCTAGAGTATGCCTATAAGAAATGGTGAGTATGGGTTTAGAGTACAATTAAAACTCAAATATACCCAGGAACAACATGCACAGGGCAAGTATTTCACTCACAAATGCGAGTAAAAATCAGGTGTGCGAATGAGAACAAACATATGGGCACACAGGTGTGACTGACTTGGGTTCCTTAGGTTCTCAGTTTTTAAGGACCAGGAGCTTTATAACAGTACCTGAAGAGAGCAGTAAGTGAGATTAGTGGATTGAAAAATATGGTTTTGGTGTTTAAGGAGTGGATTTTCCTCTCTGTCACATCTGTCGGTATTTGATTGAGGGAGGGGCTCAGCTTCTCCACACAGAATAGACAGTAGCTGAGAGCCCTCGGTGGAGAGAAAGGGAGGCAGCTGAAGTGAAGCATTACTTGAGGTGACAATACCTATGCTTGCTATTGTATGTGCAGTAAAACCTCAAGTAAAAAGCCAGTAAGAGTAAATTACCAAAACACCCACTAAATGAGCATGAACTTGTAGAGAAGCAATAATTTCAGCATTGCCTGCAATTTCAATCCACTACCGAGCACGTTAGATTTGTAGCTACCTGTTTAGATGTGGCTGTGGTGTAGTGACCAACCCTGGTTCTGTTTGGCGGTTAGCCTCGTCTCCCACTTGTGCACTACACAAATTACTGCTTGGCACACCAAAATGAGGAGAAGATACCAAAATAAACTAAGAGAAGCCAAAGGTAAAGGTGACATTTGTGCTTTATTAGAAGTGTTTTCATACACTGAGGGTTACTTTTACAAGAGAAGAGACTTTAAAGGTGAAGGTTGGTTTTACATATGGTGTCCAGTGTGTTTTCCCATCTCCATTAAAGTGCAACGCACAGCTGTCTCTGTCCTGAACAAGGCTGCAGTTGTCTCCCTCGCTTGTGGCTCCCTCCCCTAACTATGATCCATTCGGACCCATTCCATTCATGAATGTTCACTGTTCATCTGTTTGTACTTTTGTCATCGTTAAACAGTGAGACAGTAGTATGAATGCTATTTTTTTTTAACATAAAGTAGCTGTGCTCCTCAATGTTTGTCTGTGTGACAAAATGTTTTCTTTATGAATAAAGAAAATAAATTAAGCATTGAGCCATGATGCCTTCCAACACTTATTAATGGCACAAGTCTTGCCACTGTGAACAACAGAATTTGGACTGTCCACATAAACTACACTCCTTTGAAGTAGATCAGGAACTACTGAAGTTTGTATTTTATTGCAACATTCAACAAAGCTCTCATACGTCTGTTAAACAGCCCTCACAGCTGTTTCACAGCACTTACTGTAAATGTAGGACAAATTGTGCACTTGGAAAACAAGTGCCGCTGACTTGACCAAGCAAAAGCTAACAGCGGCTCACGTGACCATAGTGGGTTACGTAGCATTGGCCATGTTCTAGCTAAAGCTGTCAAACAAAAACTTGGTTTAGGTTAACTTTATTTATTAGGTTAAATGATCTGTCCAGCAGAAAGCAGGCAACTTCGGTATCATTTTGGAAACATCTGTCCCTCATCGAGCAAGTAAGCAACACTTATTTATAATAGCTCCTTTCTAAGCCTAAGTTACAAGGTGCTTTACAGTAAAACAGAAAATAATAATAATAAATAGATAAAACCAGATAAATCACACCTACACAATAAAATAATAACAGCAAAAATGCACATTCAAAAACAAATGTATTAATCAGAGATGTTAAAGGCCTGTGAATACAAGTGAGTTTTAAGGAGTGATCTAAAAACTCAGGTTCAGTGCAGATATAATATCCTGTGGCAGACCATTTCACAGTATAGAAGTCCGTACCAGAAAAGCTCGGTCTGCCCAATGTTTCAGTCTAGACTTAGGTACATCCAGGAACAACTAATTGGATTTCCACCTGGGAAAGGCCACACCAGTGTTGATCATCGTCTTGTGCCGTCACCTATCCCTACACCTATAAGTGCAGTTGCATATTTTGGCATAATGTGCCTTTTTGAATAATATGCCTTCATGGTGTCAGATGTTGTTGGTCAGCTACAGATTGATCACCCTTGTGTATTTTAATGTATTTCAAGAAGATGTCACAATGTAAGAAAGTAATAGATGGGCTGAGGTGAAGAGGAGAGCAGGATGATGTGCCCATCGTTTTATATATTAAGAAAACAGGGTGTATAATTATGCTTTTATCATTGCAGTAAAAAAAAAGATTTGTAGTGTCTGTATTAATCCATCATGTTGTCCTTCAGCATTCACTGATACCTTCTCCTCCTCCATCCAGTAAGCTGGATAACAGTCGTAGTGTTACCTCTGGGGATGTCGGACCTCACATTCATGTGGAGTTCTGTCAGTATGCCGGGCACATGTCCAGCTATGTGGACTACAGAGCGTGTCCAGCCGTAGCCTCTGCTGAGGGACAGGCTGACATCTGCCAGCGCTTCTCTGTGAGTTCCTACCTTTTTTTCACAGTGTAATATTTCAGTTTTACAAAAATTCTCAAGCTGAAGAAAAGTTAAACAAGAAGTACAATTCTCATGTCTAAACTGATAAGTATACTCGCTCCTCATATTTTTCTGTATTGATCAGAGTAGACTAACTTTATAGTTACAGTATTGTTCAAAATAATAGCAGTACAATGTGACTAACCAGAATAATCCAGGTTTTTAGTATATTTTTTATTGCTACATGGCAAACAAGTTACCAGTAGGTGCAGTAGATTCTCAGAAAGCAAACAAGACCCAGCATTCATGATATGCACGCTCTTAAGGCTGTGAAATTGGGCAATTAGTTGAAAGGGGTGTGTTCAAAAAAATAGCAGTGTCTGCCGTTGACTGTACAAACACAAAACTATGTTGTACAAACGTTTTTGTTTCTAGGATTTAGCAATCCTGTGAATCACTAAACTAATATTTAGTTGTATGACCACAGTTTGTTATAACTGCTTCACATCTGTGTGGCATGGAGTCAACCAACTTGTGGCACCTTTCAGCTGTTATTACACTCCATGATTCTTTAACAACATTCCACAATTCATTTACATGTCTTGGTTTTGCTTCAGAAACAGCATTTTTGATATCACCCCACAAGTTCTCGATTGGATTAAGGTCCGGGGATTGGGCTGGCCACTCCATAACATTAATTTTGTTGGTTTGGAACCAAGACTTTGCTCGTTTACTAGTGTGTTTGGGGTCATTGTCTTGTTGAAACAACCATTTCAAGGGCATGTCCTCTTCAGCATAAGGCAACATGACCTCTTCAAGTATTTTGACATATGCAAACTGATCCATGATCCCTGGTATGCGATAAATAGGCCCAACACCATAGTAGGAGAAACATGCCCATATCATGATGCTTGCACCACCATGCTTCACTGTCTTCACTGTGTACTGTGGCTTGAATTCAGAGTTTGGGGGTCATCTCACAAACTGTCTGTGGCCCTTGGACCCAAAAAGAACAATTTTACTCTCATCAGTCCACAAAATGTTCCTCCATTTCTCTTTAGGCCAGTTGATGTGTTCTTTGGCAAATTGTAACCTCTTCTGCACGTGCCTTTTTTTTAACAGAGGGACTTTGCGGGGGATTCTTGAAAATAGATTAGCTTCACACAGACGTCTTCTAACTGTCACAGTACTTACAGGTAACTCCAGACTGTCTTTGATCATCCTGGAGCTGATCATTGGCTGGGCCTTTGCCATTCTGGTTATTCTTCGATCCATTTTGATGGTTGTCTTCCGTTTTCTTCCACGTCTCTCTGGTTTTGCTCTCCATTTTAAGGCATTGGAGATCATTTTAGCTGAACAGCCTATAATTTTTTGCACCTCTTTATAGGTTTTCCCCTCTCCAATCAACTTTTTAATCAAAGTACGCTGTTCTTCTGAACAATGTCTTGAACGACCCATTTTCCTCAGGCTTTCAAATGCATGTTCAACAAGTGCTGGCTTCATCCTTAAATAGGGGCCACCTGATTCACACCTGTTATTTCACAAAATTGATGACCTCACTGATTGAATGCCACACTGCTATTTTTTTAACACACCCCTTTCAACTAATTGCCCAATTGCACAGCCTTAAGAGCGTGCATATCATGAATGCTGGGTCTTGTTTGCTTTCTGAGAATCTACTGCACCTACTGGTAACTTGTTTGCCATGTAGCAATAAAAAATATACTAAAAACCTGGATTATTCTGGTTAGTCACATTGTACTGCTATTATTTTGAACAATACTGTATGTTTGTATTTACTTTCATTAACTACCCTGTCTTTTTGTTTGTGTGACAGGCGTTTGGTTGGTGTCCAAATGGCACTCAGTGTCCATTATCCCATGACACTGACCTTATCATTCTCCAGGATGAGAAAGGCAAGAATGACAAGAGGAAAAAGAGGAAGAGACAGAGGGAGAAGAAGAGAGGTGGAGGAGAGGCAGCTGAAGGCTCTCATATATTTGATGGTGCCCCGGAAAACAAAATACCCTGCATGGAGGTGGGTCCTGAAGAAACAGCAGCTGACCAGCAAAGGGCTGAGCCGTGCCGTGAAAGTGGACTTCAGATGGACAGTGGAGAAAACCCCCAACAGAATGAAGGAGAGAGTGTGAACACAGGCAGTGAGGGGAACAGAGCATGTGAAGGCAACACTGACATCACCAGCTCTGCAACTACCACAGCTGATGACACAAAAACCAACGCAAATGATGTGGAGAGCAGAAGAGGAGAAGGAGGGAGAGAAAATAGTGGCCGTGTAACAAAGACTGAGAGTCAGGAGAAGAAGACTGACACAGGAACGCACCGAGCGGGGTTCGATGCCTTTATGACAGGATTCATCTTTGCCTACTCATGTACCCTGGTTAAAAAGGAAGGAAAGGGAGTAGCTGTAGAGGAGCAGGAGGAAGAGGAGCAGTCATGGCTTCCCAACTGTCTCAATAAAGTCTACCTTAGTGGCAAGGTGGCTCCTCTCAACGTGGTTAAAAGCACCTTCTCCAAGTCGTCCAAAGCCCACGTGCAGAAAATGCAGATGGTGTGGGCAGGGAGAAGATAGCGTGCACGCTTACACACAGCAGGGAAATGATAGGTCACACAAGTGTCAGTTTAAGTTTTTACTCAACACGGTCTCTCCACCACACTGGTCTAGACTCAGATATCTCAACAACTTTAAGGTGGATTGCTGTGAGATTTTGACATACATGGTCCCTGAGGAGGAATCCTTCTGACTTTGTTAATTTGCCGATGTTACTCCAAGAGGTTGACATTTTTCTTTTTTAGCGAAATATCATTGCAGCTACTTGATGTATGGTGGCTTGATCTGGTAGCCATGTCCATGTCCCCATAAGAATGAACTTTAATAACTTTGGTGCTTCCCTGGCTTTGCATATAGAACTGAATTTGTCCAGTAGTTTGCTTTATGGTCAGATAGCTCCCAAACTAATTATACAGCCTATATTAACATTTTAGTATTTAGGTTAAAACACAACTATGCTTAAGCAAATTCTAAAAGAGCAACAAGTGACATGTTTTCTGTGGATTTCTGTAAATTTTCTAAGGTAATGGTCACTTTAGGTTTGTGGCAAAGAAAACTGCAATAATTAACTAGCAGCCATTTAATATGTAAAGCTGCCCACTACTGTATACGTTGGTCCTACGTTCTGCAAGTAGTTGTTACTTTTCCTGGTCACAGATTATAGTAAATTAAATATGTGTTTTTGACTGTTGGTTGAACAGAATAGGAAACGTGATGCCATGACCTTCTGCCCCAGGATAATGTGATGGGGATTGTTCAGGGTTTTCTTGTGTGTTAAAGACGAAACAGTTATCGAGAAATTAGATAGAATTATCAGTAATAAAAATTTAGTTGGAGCTCTAATAGAAAAAACATGCAGTCTGACAGTGTTGAGTGTAGAGACATGAAATGCAGTCAGTTTTTTCATCCTTGATTTGTTTTAGACTCCCATGTTGTTTTCAGTTATTTAGCAGTCTGATCTGGACTGTTGACCTTCTAACTGTAGAATTCAAAACATGGGAAAAGAATTAACAGTGACATTAGTGACCTATGACTGTAAACTCAGCCATAAACTGAAATGTTAAAGGACCCCTTTTCATTTAAATAGCATTGTGTGTCTGGAAACAGCCACAGAGAGATGATGGTTAATATACATTCATCCTGAATTCCAGATTTTTATAATGAATGAGCTTTATGATGGACAGGCCAACAGACAGACATGTGCACCCACAGCCTCTTGTCTCTAGTGTGGCTAAAGGTACCTCTAAGTTTTAATACTCACACTGGTAAGCTGATGCAGATGTGTCCACACCTGTGAGCAATACTAATCCTTATAGTATATATAGCCACAGTTACAAGTTACTTTGCTGATTAAGATTCTACATTTAAGCTTATGAAATACAGTAAGTTGTTAAAAATGTAACCAGTGCTTCTAAACCTCAGGTACTTGTCACTCCTTACTGAAAAGAAATGTCTAGTTGATGTCACTTCTCACAATTCACAAATCTTTGAGTTGTTAACAGTTCTAATAATGATATTCCCTCTAAATGCTATTAAGGGTTTAATGTGCCATGTCCTCGTGAAGGAAGAGTCTCCGTTATTTTGTACAACAGCAAATTTCAGCATAGCCCAAAAAATGTAAATGTGTCAGAATATTATGAGTTTTTTGTTCCTGTTCCTTTAATCATCTCAGAACTGAATGATCTCATGACCCCTGTATTTACCATAGTTATAACTAACTCCATCATGACCAGCAACAAAATTACAATGCTCTTTATACATAGTTGCATTGTCATATCAGTAACAGGGGACGTTGTACTGCAGAACGAGTATTTTTACTTTTGACACTATAAGTGAATTTTTGTTGATGATACTGACAGTATGCACTTCTGATTAAGAAGAGGTTGGAATGCGGTAATTTTTCTTTTAATGGAGTATCATTAGATCATTGAATTAACACATTACATAAGGAAAAGATCTGAATAAGTAATCCACTGCTGGTCAGGGTAGTGTGGGCTATGTGTTTGTCTCCAGCACTCTCTGGTTTATGATAAACTGTCAATTACAGAAATATCAGCCTGATAATCACATTTACTTCCTGTGGTGAAGGAAGTATCACAGTAGAACATGTTAGTTAAATAAAAGTGCAGTATCCTCATTTGAAATTGCTCCATGACAAGTGAAAGTTCTACATTCAAAGTCTTACTTACCTACTTACTTAAAAGTCCAAAAGTGGCATGATGATAAATATAAGTAAGTATTCCACTAAAGTACATGTAGTGCTAGTAAGGTCTGGAACTGCCATTCATGCATCATTACGTAAGCTGAACCTGTGGGCGCTTCTCCAAAATAACCACACACTAAACTAGTCGTGCAATACTGTATTGAGTTGTCGGCTAAATCACTGGGTGTAAATGAGACGGTAGCATTGGGATGCATGAGTGGAAACGGGATAAACTCCAGTGGACTTGAGGAGAATTAAACTAACTCTCCACTATGGGGTTAAAATACCAGCATATGAGTTAGACTTTCCAACAAGGTGCCTTCTTAATTAACACTGGGAATTTTCTGGTACAAGTAAGAGAAAGAATCCCATATTAGCTGCTGATACAACTTCAAATAGATTTTTATGCTAACAAGGACCAGAGAAAGGACCTCAGAAGATCCAGTAAAGACTGCCATTGAACAGCAAAAAGAAATGTGGGATTCATGTTTAGACATATATACAGATGGCTCTAAAGATACTGTAATTGGGAAAATAAGATTTGGTGTATATATTCAAGGTTATCAAATCCGGCAAGGGCTGAGGCTTCCTGATCATACGTCTGTACTTACTGTAGAACTTGTGACAATCTTATGGGCCCTCTGATGGATAGAGGGCATTCAACCAGTTGCAACATTAATTGGCATTGATTTGGTTGCTGCATTGGATGCCATAAACCAGGGGAGGACAAAGGTCTATTATGGGGTGGTAGCGCATGTTGGAATGCAGACGAATGAAGTAGCTGATGAAATTGCAAAACTAGCAACTGTCAATTTTGTATGGTAAACTGGAATTGTATTCCTTAATTTAAAAAAAATGCAAATCAAATGTGGCAAAACATGGAATAACGATCACAAGGGCAGGATTTACTACAACAACCAGTGCATAAGATTGTCACATACTTTGGGGGAAAGGGAATAGACCAAGTGAAACTAATGAGATTGAGGTTGGACCACTGTAGACTGAGAAGTGGGAAGCACTAATAGGAAAACATCCTGATGCAAAAAATGTGAATGTGGACCGGTAGAGACTGTAAAGCATGCCTTACTTCATTATACTAATTAAGTGGAGCAAGGAAATGAACTGTACAAAGGATTAACAGAACTTGGGGAACTGTTTTCACTTTAATAACTTTGCTGAACTTGGAGGATTATAAAAAAGTAGTGCACTATATCAACAGATATAATCTGGATAGGATAATATGACCATGATGCCTTTCAAACTGAAGAGGGTAGCAGTACGCCTTTGCTGCGTCTAGATTGCCATACCGAGGAAGGAGAACTAGAAAAAGAAGAAGAAGAAATAGAATCACTTATTATCGTTCCACACTCCAGCCCAGCAGGTGGCGGTAAAGCACCTTAGGTTGGCCTGCAAACCGCCAATGAACACAAACATACAAAGAAGCAGCATCTGTTCAACAATACGAAGAAGAAGAGTTGCTCGTTCAGAAGTGATAGTACACTGACTTGGCTGCTCTGTGCCATTTGGTACATGTAGTCTTTGAATAATTCAGTGCTCTGTTGCTTGGTTAGCATCCCTTAATTTAATTTATTTTACAACAGCCAGATGAACCAAGTATTAACGTTAGAGATCGACAGCAATTGATTGCTCTCGCATACAGTAATGGCGAGCGATGAAATAGACTACAATATCGTGTTTCCAGATGCAGGGACATCGGGTGAGCATCATTTCATCGCACTTTGTTCATGCGTCATTTAACTTAGCGTCCGTGCTAACATTATAATAGCATGCAGCTAACGTTACGCCGTGAAAATGTAACCCTGTTAACTCGCTTGTTAGCTTAGTTTAGCCTAGCTTGCTGTGACAGCTCTGTTAACGTGCTGTTTTATCGTCCGTCTTGTTTTCAGAGAGACACTGGCAAGGGACAAAGGAGCCAGTTGTGATACTGTTGGGCTGGGCTGGTTGCAAAGACAAACATCTCTCCAAATACAGCTCCTTCTATAATGAACAGGTTAAAGATACACAACAAATCTATGAAGCTCGTCTGCGTTCTATATTTTTCCTTATGACAGCATTGTGGCATCACAAAATACTTAAATTGACATCCTTCTTTCTGTCTTTAGGGATGTTTAACTATCCGCTACACAGCTCCTTTGAAGACTGTCTTTATCTCAGAGTCGTTTGGCTACAAGGAGCTCAGCAGTACAGCCCTGAAGTTGCTGGAGATCCTTTATGACTACGAGGTGGAGAACAGTCCTATTTTCTTTCATATATTCAGTAATGGTGGCTTCATGCTGTACCGTTACATTGTAGAATTGTTGCACAATGACAAACAGTTCAGCTCCCTGTGTGTGATTGGGGCTGTAGTGGACAGCGCCCCTGGTAGTGTGAACATCCGTGGGGCCCTGCGTGCGCTGAGGGCCACCTTAGGGCCAAAAATAAGTCCTTTTTTAAGATATGTCCTGTTAGCACTTTTTGCAGTGACTGTCTTCCTGTTGCGAGTCGTGCTGTATCCTCTGACTAAGTACATTCACAAGAACCACTATGATGCTGTGTGGGAGAGACCTCCTGTGTGGCCTCAGTTTTTTCTGTATTCCAGTGAGGACCAGGTGGTCAGGCACAGGGACGTCGAGCTGTTTGTGGGGAACCTGAAGCAGAAAGGCGTGCCAGTGGATCTTTTTGACTTTGTTTCCAGCCCTCATGTCAGTCATTTTCGGGAGTTTCCTGAGCAGTATGTTCTAAAGTGCCGCAATTTCCTGGTAGCTTGCATGAAGGACTTGGAAGGGACTGAGAAAAAGAAGAGACACCTGATTCAAAATCAGTAAAACTCAGAAAAAATGTTGCTAACCCTCCTGTTTAGCAGTCTTATCCAGATTTAAAACAGAGACTTTGTGCAGTACAAGATTGAGATCGTGAAGGTCCCAGTGCACAAAATGGGAAGGTTCAACAAATGTGTTTTAGGTCTGCTTTGTGAAACACTGTAACTCATATGCCACTGGCCTAAAGGCTTGACTCTCATGTCAAAGGTCTTGTACCACATGTACAAATAACAATACAGTTGATGTACAGTGAAAATTTGGTACTTATTCCTTTAGAATCATTTAAATGGTATTTAATATTGCTGTGAAATGATATGCATTGTAGATTAGTACTAGTGAATCTGAAACTAGCTGGGCTGGGTAATCACTATCTTTTGTTTATAAAATTTCTAATGTATTTATGGCTTGAGGTTTTATTCCTACAACATCATTAAATGTGATCACAAGGGACAATGAAGGTACCCATCAAAATGAGAAGGATATACAGTGTGTATATATATATATATAAGTGTCAAATTGCTGCCTTAAACAGTAAATGCATTCTGATGTCTTTTTTTGGTCAGTCCTAATATGTGATACAAAATATTTGTTCAAGGCAAAAGTTGATTAACAATGAATGTATATCTCCAGCACAGTTGTATGTTCTATTTAACTGATGCGCCTTCAATAAATCATAATGCTCCTAGAAGAATATGTTAGACCATATTTTTAATTATGCTTGCTGCTTTTTTTCTTATAAACTATATGAAACGCATATCTCTCAAAAAACCGGTGTTATAATGATGACATGAGGGCGATGAGTGCTGTTAGACATGTCTGGTTATTCATAAACCACTCCGCTAATATTGCTTGAACTAGCAAATAGAAATATCAATAGAAACATTCCTGATAGAGTGAACTTCGATCATAATGTAACTTCTTTCTTGATTGTGCCCCATGATGTGGCAAGGTGACATAGAGCTCTTCGGCAGCAACAAGAATGCGATTTTAGTTATGTGACAGCATTTGATGTACAATAAGATGCAGGTGTGTTCAGTTTCACATAATGAGGTATGGGCCTTTATTTTGGTTTAAGGTAAGTGTTACACAAGTTTGAAGATTTTTGGCATGCTTGAAAGATCACATCTGTCTACAGGGCTCTGGAGCTGCACTGGATGAAGAACTTTTTACCATAGCATGATAAAAATGGGCTTTGAAAGCGCATTTCTGCTACTGACAAACTGGTTGATGGTATATAACTGACTGATTGTATATCTCTTCAATTACTGGGATAAAAGTCAGTTTCCAAACAAAGTAAAATTTAGCTCCCATTATTTTTGCATAATAATTTCCCTTGTTTCCTTAGTTTTGCCACAGTGTACTGGGGCTTTGTACATTATATTTAGTCAAGGCAAGACGGCTTTATTTATATAGCACGTTTCATACACAGGCAGTTCTAATTGCTTTACAAAGGGGCAGAGAAAAAGAATAACAGCATTACAAACCAGAGTAAGATCAGTTAAGACAAAATGAAGATAAAACTCCTAAAATGATATAAAATACATTAAATAAAGCCTAAAAACAAATAGTCACAAATAGAGGTCGGACACAGAAATCTAGCAGTTAGATCGCAGAAAGTACAGTATAGAACCCAGTCAAACAAAAGGTACAGGAAATTAGTAGATTTCAGTTTAGACTTGAAATTGTTAAGAGTTTATGCGCATTTAAGGTCATCAGGAAGTTGATTCTGTGTAGCACAGTAGCTAAAAGCAGCTTCACCCTATTTGGTTCTGACCCAAGGTTCTACCAACTGACTACTTCCTAGAGAGCCCTGCTTGGTTTGTATTCTTCAGGGAGATCAGTCAGTCATTCAGCAATGTTTGAAACAACAGCCTAGATACTGTTGCCTTAAGTAACAATGTATTACACTACTGTATATGCACCACAGGAAATTAAAGACACCATATATATTAATATGCAATCGCTTATTATTTATTTTGACAGCATTTTATCTTTTGAACTTGTTCTTTGAGGGCCTAGACTGAGGACCAGAAGACTGAGACCACTACTTGTTTGTAATAAACTTCATCACTAGGGGGCTTCCCAAAGGGAAGATGTCAAGGGAAGGTATTTACAGTATGTGGTCTCATACCCAGGGACAGATAAAACTGCAGCTATTTCTCCTTTGCTCTTGTCATGAGATGTCAGGGACTGTTTGAAGAGCGTGGCTCTGAACTGGCCTAGCAGCAATGGTTATTGAACATCTACAGTATGTCAGATATGACATTTGACAGAGCGAGTGGTTGGCATTTGTTTCTGCACCAGGCTTGGCCCTGGCAATTCATGTACCACGTAGAGCTGCTTGGAGGAAAGGGAGGAAGATGAAAGTTTACATATCTGCACACACTGATGAACATCGCTTTTTGGAGTGCAGATGAGATAGGCTGCTCTGATCCTTATGGTGGTTTTTAAATGACATAGGCAGTCATATAATAGTTGGCCTGTTTAGTTTGACTCAAAGTGCCAAGGGAATCCTGTTATCACTGTGTTGACTTTCTCTTTTAAAGGATTTACATGAAGGAATGACCTCAGAAATATCTGCACGCTTGGAAATGCTGTGTTTTTTGACTGAGAAAAACAGAATCACAAGTAGGCTGTACTTGGAAAAAATATTCAGATTCCTTAGTTAAGGGATAAGGCTGGTCCTGGATCAGTTTGTGTGTCTGTGCATCAGCCCTCGGTTGTTGTTCAAAAACAAATAAAAACACACCAGGGAAATGCACTACTGCACTGGGTGACTTTTTTCATTACAAAACCCAAGCTTTGTTGCCCCAAAGTTTCCTGAAGCTAGCATGAATCAGAGTCAACTACGCATATGCGAAATCTTGCACAAGCTCTCTGCTTTGTTTACATTCCGCTTATCTCCTCACGCTTGAGTCTGGGGTTTGCTAATGAAGAAATATGTCAGCCAGTGCAGCAATCTGTTTCACTGATGTGTTTTTAATTGTTTTTGAATAACACAGAGGTGTATGGCACAGATGAATAAGATGATCCAGGACTGACATTACTGCCCCAATAGAACTCTCTAATAGCAGATATTTTGACTTTTTACAGCCCAAAAAGCACAAATGAAACTACACCTGACACCTGAATGGAACATGACCATTTTACAAGGTAATGTCACACCCATGTCAAAGGACAGCTAAATACAATATAAGAAATGAAACATCTAAAACTATTCTGTTAATTGACATAACTAAAATCCCAGTACAGGTATGCATGTTCTCATATTTAAGGTATAAAAACTGAGGTTTAGGAGGAAAAAAACAGTAAGAAATCCACAATTGTGAAAGGCTTTTACCTCAAGAATGACTTGAAGACGTTTGAGCAACCAGGACAAAAAAATCCACTGCACTGTGTAAACTAGAGTTTACATTCACTGACTGGTGTATTTTTGTGTATTGTGATTGAAATGTGATGTAGGTGGATATAGGTGTGTCCTTACTGACAAGCTGTTCCATTTATTTCTGAACCCACCCAAATATCTGAACATTTTAACCACACAGTGATGCTAGTATTCCTTTAGAGGGCAGCATTGACTCACAGTTCCCTGCACACAGCACTTCACTGTGGCCTCAACTAGATCAAGCCGACAACAATCATTCAGCAGCGGATATTTTATTCTGGGCTCCAGAGGGATAAAGTCTGTGAAACGTTACCTTCAGAAGCAATTTCTATTCAGGTTTGCACTGCTTTGAATTGAAAGCACATGACAAAAACTTTATTTGTGCATCAAGAAATTACTTCAGCTGTTGAACAGCAACATGAGTTTCCTAAAACCTATCTTTCCTTTTTCTTGTAATTTTTTGAGAGTTGATACTGATGAGAAAGAAAACAATGCATTATTTCAAATTAAGAGAAAGAGTCTAAGCTTGAGTTAAGGATGAGAGATAAAGGCAAGAAAAGAGAAGAGCAGAGGATAGATGGATGGGAAGGAAATACCATAACCCCCCCACCTCCACCCTTAAATCCTCAGAAACGCAGTGAAAGAAGAAATTACCCCATGGGAAGTTAATGAAGTCTCACAAGTTGATGAGGGGAAAATTGCAGCAAAGAGGGGTCAGTGCTTTCTCTTTAGCCTTTTCCTCTTCCACGAAAAATGGCTGCGGTCAAGATCCATATTTTTAGAGGACACAAGCACTCCAACGCAGAGACTGAGTGACAGAGATGGCAGGGAGAGCTCCGAGATTAATGGTATTAAGCGGGAGCACTAGGAAATACAGTACCACATCATCTGTGTGCTCTGTTCCACACTGATAGTTTCATAGACCTTGGCTTTATACCTTGACTTTTGGCTGCGATTTACAGGATTCGAATAACCTGGGCGGCTTTTCATCTTTGCAAAATCTCCAAGCATCTTCATTGTGGAATCGCATGGGTACCAATTTTATTGACAATACAATCAATACTAGTTAATGTTTCTCTCCTGCAGTTTGGGTGGCTGGTTATCATGCAAAGCCAACAACTAAAATTTCTTTCAGAAATGTATTTATTTTCTGCAACAGTCATCCATCCTTGGTTTAATGTCAGTACAAATTGAAGAGCTGTATTTATGTACACACTGACATTTTGGATGCTTTCCTGTGAACCCCCTTTCTAGATCACTGGGTGAGGATGTGCAGTATTTTATCTGACAGGCTTACAAACCAACACAGATACACACTGTATCAGAAAGAATCTAATAACAAATCTTTGTGCCTCTTCACCCATGATATGGACTGATATCGTATAAAGTCTGACATTTTGATTATAAGTCTAACATGCTGTGATTTCCTGGCCAATAATAATAATAATAATGACTTTTCCCCCCAGAATTTGTCTTTATATACTGGTCTGCAATAACACAATAAAGTACAGTATTTGTAATAATAGAATTAAACTTATGTTTCTTTATCTAAATGTTTTTATGCTATGGTTAAATATAGGTTTCATAGATAGATGATAAACCTTTACCACTATGTCCCTTTTCTTAATCTGTATAGTCCCCTCTCCTCACACACACACAGACACACACACACCACATCCATCCCCAGGTGTGTCATGCTGTCTTTTCCTGGCAACACACACGGCACTGAAA